CCCCAAAACCCCAAAACCCCAAAACCCCTAGATGGAATATATGAAATTATGAGATTGAGAATAAAAAAAAGAATAATAAAATTCTAAAAAATTAACTACCGATTTAAATGTCTTAATTAGGGTTATAAAATTCGAGCAGTCCTAAAGCTCATTCAAACCAAAACTCCTGAAATGATTTAGAAGTCAATCACATAGCACCTGCTATAGTTTTATAGTCACTTAAGTCCAGTATGAATTTGACACCTATGAATAAAACTAGCAACATGCAATTTTAAAATCATATCTAGGCCCTTGAAGAGTTATAACTTGGTAAGTTTTATTTCATAATTCCACTTCATATGAATACCTATTTACCCTCACATTTATTTGATATATTATGATTCTGATGTGAAACTGATCTATAGAGGATATGTTTGAAAATAATCCAAACTGGTTTGCCTTCGAGACTAGAGTGAGAAAAATGGTGATATAAATGCTTGAGCCGCAGATCAAGAGGTCCATTCAAGATAAGGAAATCATCTAGCAGATGCAGAAACATCATGACATCATAAAGCGCAAGATTGATGAATGTGAGTTTGTAATCCACAAGGCTCAGAAAAAGACTGCAGCTCAAGAAGATGTTCACAAAAAGATCGAATTCAATGAGACTAAGCAGAAGGTCTACGAGATCAAAGTCAAGGAAAATATAGACAAACTTTATCATTAGCAAGAAGTACTTTAGGAAAAGGTAGACATTGTAGAGTAGGAGCGCTCATCATTTATAATGAGAGTAGATAACCTATCATATGAGCTAAAGAAGTACAAAGAAGACCTTTTGAATATGAAGGAGTCACTTGGATAGCACATTGATAGGACACATATGGAGTTAAAAAAGTCAATTGCGGGCTTCAATAATCAGATACAGGTAGTTTCAGAGGAAATTTAGCTTGAAAAGAAAAAACTGGTGGTATAAAGCAATGACTTCAAAAAGTTTGGCTTGGTTATTGAGACAAATAACCGTAGGCTGGTAGAAGTCGAAGATCTTTTGGAAAAAATCTAGCAAGAGAAATTAGATTCTCATCTGTTTACCAATAGAATAGCTATTTTGGAAAGAGACTTGCGAATGACCTAGGAGCAGAATTTGAAGTTGGAATTCCAGATAAAGGACACTAACTACTTCATTGAGAAGTATGTGCCAATGCAGATTCAGATGATGATAGATGAGACTCTGAACAGCACTCTGCTAAAGAAAAACACTCTGCTGAAGAACTTGTATGAATACGAGAAGAATAAATTCAGACTCCTGGAAGATCTGATTAAAAATATGGATGCTAAGAATGCTTAGAATCAGCAGATCATTATGGAGAGGAGGAACTATATGATACCTAACTTCCAACTACGTGAGCTAGAAATACAAAAGGAGAAGAAAGGCACTAAGGGAGCCAAGAAAGGAATGGGAGGACACAGAGACAGTAAAAGCGGAGCAAGCAAGCTTGGACTTAAGGGTCTGCAATTGAGGCACATATAAAGTGAGTCTAGTGCTGGCAAAATCAATACTATGCAAAGGTCTGAGTCAAATTTATCAGGCTAGTCTAAGCTGAAATTAAAAACTTCAGGCAAGAACTAAAGAAAGGGAAGTGGAGCTCGGAAGACTGTAGCTGGGTCTAAACAACTGACAAATCAGGGTTTGAGTTTTGAGTCTTAATAAAACAAGAAGTAGAACAGCTAGATATCGGGAAGCAGTTCAAGAGGCAGACAGGCAGCTTAGAAAATAAATGACAATGAGAGTTAAGATGGATAGGTATTGATATCAGGTAACAATACTTAAAGGTCAAACATCAAGAAAAAGGCTAGTTAGGCTAGCATGGGCAAAGTTGTAGACACCACTCCTAACTATACTGCAACTCCCAACCACTTATCCCAGGATGAAAGTCAGAGCATGGACAACAAGGGCAAGAGCAGTGAGCTATCTCACAGTTAGAAGAGCCAGTCTCAGAAAAGTGACAGTCAGAGCATTATTCATCAGATACTTGAGCTCTCTGAGGAGTCAATGGCAGAGTCTGTACACAAATCTGTTTAGAAAAGAGTAAAAGCAATAAAGTCACACATCAGAAACCAGGAGGACTCGAACAATTTGCCAAAGATAGATGAGATGTCAAACAATCATCAAATGCTGAATGAAGATGAATCGAATGCCTCTTTCAACATAAGACAGTAAAAGAAGAAAAACATTCAGTCAGTGACAGGAGAAAGCGAAATACAGTTTGAAGAGAGGGGAGACAAAGCAAGCATCAACTCCTTTAATCACAAGATACCTCTAGATGACAAGTCTGTAGATCTTCTACAAAAATCGAATGTGAATCTGCAAAGAGTATTGGAGGATTAAGACAACTAGATAAATTAGAGTGAGGAGGAAGGTGGGGAAATGGATGATCAAGACATGGAAAATGAAGAGGATGATGAAGAGGAGGGAGAGTACAGTGAGGAAGATTCAGATGACTCCAGTTTTCAGATGACTAGGTCTATGATCCAAAGACTGCAAAAGACTGAGGTAACTTATAGCGATTTCGATCAGGCAATCCGCAACATTTTCAAGCAATACAACGAGAACTTCGAGGACTTTAAGACTAGATTCCCAGCAGAAGTCAATCATCACACTTTCAATGCCTAGATAGACGATGTTTACAGAGTCATTGAGAGCACTAAGAACGGCATCAGAATCCTAGCTGAGTAAATACAGTAGCAATTCAAGGAGATAGGCTAGCAAATGCAGGAGGATAGAGAGTACTACCAGAGTGAAATATCTGCCAGCGAGAAAAAGAGACGGAGAGAGCAGTTTGAAATTATGCAAAAGATTGATGAGCTGAGGCACTATGTTAAAAATGTGGAGAGAGGAGTCCTTCTTTTACAAAGCAAAGACGACTTCTATCAGAAAATATGTCTCTCTTTGATTGAAGTAGCCAAGGTCGATAATGCACTGATGCAGGCTGATGAAGTAGACAAGAAATCAATATCTCTGCTCGGAGTCAAGGAGGAAAACTTTAGGCCTACAAGCCCCACTCATAATCAGATCTAAGTGCATATTAATTCTCCATCACTGAGTGCTTCAGTATACCAGCAACCCAAAGACAAAAACCAACAGCCAGTGATATCTATTGACAAGTCGTGTTTAAGTTGCAGTTCCCAGCCATACAAGGTCATTGCTGCTTTTAAGATGGCTTGCTTGTCATACTTCCCTTCTCAAGTTTAATTCTAAGAGAGGGAATACAATAGAGAATCTCTGATAGAAATAAAGAATGGTATACTGGATGACTTGCTAGTGACCATTGAAAGAAAGATTTAGCATCAAGAAGAATTCGAAAGAAATATCAATGATAGACGAAGAAGCAACTTAAGCGATAGTGTTGGAGGCAGGGATGACACACCTCATAATTATCAATACCCTCTAAGACCAAGTATGAACCATGTAATATTGAATTCACAGGGCAATACGATTAGCATCACAGGCAACAGGCCTTAAAGCCCAGCTAACCATAGAATTGACCCTAAAATTTTAACCATCGAAGATGATAACCTCTCCAATAGCAACAACAATCTTAACAAAGTGAACTTTGATCACACTCTGAAGTAAAAAACCATCTTTCTAGACCCTGACAACTCTAATTCCAACTTGAAGTCAGACAGCTCGCAGCAGTTCATGACCTCATACTAGCGCAAGAGCATTAAAATCTCAAATATCAAGTACAAGACTGATCTCCTGTTCTCTGACCAAAACAACCCTAACTTATCTCTAACCAATCACGGAGTAGCAAAGCAAATAGTAAACAATAATGGTCATGCAGCAAGGGACCAATTCAGCAATAGTGTCATCCTTAACCCATTAATTGAGGAGTAGCGCTAGCAGGCAAGAATGAGGAATATGAGTGGCTCTGGTGCACACACTTAGTTTCAGACATCAAAAGACTATCTTAACAACACAGTCAATAAGATCAGCAACAGAAGAGATATTAGAGTGCCCACTGATATATCAAGTGCGCCTATCAGTCCATCTCATTTAGGATTCACAAGCACACCTTCTTCAAGTTATGTAAACAAGAGAAGGGTAAGAAATAGAGCTGCTAATAACAGTACTTAACTTGGCTCATCAACGAATGCAAGCAGAGACCATTCCAAGATATTGCTTGCTCCTAAGAACATTTGACTCCAAGACAAAAACATAACATAAATTTGACATTGAACTTATCTATAAATCTTAATTTCATAATTCTTGTTGATAGCGTGTCTATAAATAATTAAGTTTGATTAGTTATAGAATTAGTCTCTGATTATTATAAACTTAATCATAAAAATGTCCAAGAATTAAGAGCTCAAGCAGGGTATCGACCAATCAGATGATGACTCAGGAGATGAGCCAGAGAACTATCAATATAAAATAGTTGTCCTGGGTAATGGTACTGTTGGAAAGACCTCCGTCATCATGAGGTTTTGTGAGGACTACTTCGCCAGATCCTACAAACAAACAATCGGAGTTGACTTCTTTGTCAAGAGATTAGAAATGCCTGGAAACGTTTATGTGGCCTTGTAGGTATGGGATATTGGAGGTCAGAGCATATTCGGGAAAATGATTTAGACGTACATTTACGAAGCAAACGCTGTAAGATTATCATATTAAAGTGACTCATTGCTTAACAAAAATTTATAGGTTGTATTGGTGTATGACATAACGAATCAGTAGAGTTTTCAGGACTTAGAAGATTGGCTGAATCTTGTGAAGCAGTCATTTGCAGGCAAGGAGATGCCCTTGCTCATATTGATGGGAAATAAGATAGATCTTAATCACATGCAGGCAGTTAAGAGTGATTAACATGATTAATTTGCTAAGGAAAACGGTCTTTATTCCTTCTATGTCAGCGCAAAATCTGGGGACCAAGTCAGTAGCTGTTTCTATAGGATAGCAGCTGACTTAGCAGGTATCGAAGTGCAAAAGCCAATGGTAGAAATAACATAAAAGTAAGTGGTTGCAGAGATAGTATAGCACACCTAAAATGAGGAGACTGAGCCAAGGGCAGAGGAAAAGCTAGAAAAGGCAAAGAAGAAGGAGTCCAAATGCATATTGTTTTGATAGTATTTATTTTAAATTGTCATAACACATTTGATGTTTGGTATAATCACGGGGTTTTGGGGTTTTGGGGTTTTGGGGTTTTGGGGTTTTGGGG